GGGGGGGTTGGGTTTTTCGTAAACCTTTTCAATTTATTGTCTCCTATCAAATCATCTCACTTCGCAGCGTAACTGCTTAATTCTTTATTGGCGTTCAACCTTAAGGCAGAAATAAACAGAAAGTGATTGATATAACAATTTTTTTTATCAAAATTGTTTTTTGTAGATAAAGACAAAACAGTTTTAAACTTTCATTCAATGTTGTCATTAAAGTATGCCACGATTTGTCACATCTTTCAAAACTAGCTTCATGTTTTTGATTTTTTAAACCATTTTTAAACCTTGACCGCTTGTCTGTCACTATTCATTATTTCTACAGAAACAAAAGTGTGTGGCCTAGTTTAAGGGTTACTGAGTTAGACGATCGTATCATTTTTTATTTACATAACTATAGTAAAATTTTACTGAGAAAATTAGGTAGTGTTAGTAGGAAATAAAAAAGGTATTTTAAATAAAATGATTTATAGTTGAGGGCCCTATGTTACGCTTATTTCTGACCATTCATTTTGTTGTTTACCGGTGAAGGATGAAAGGCCATACTGTTAACGCACAAGTGACTTGGTAAATGTATCGGAGTAAACACTTTGTTATAAAGATGAGATATTTTTATATTGCAATTGTCCGTTCATCACTGTTTCAATATCTAACTCAGATAAACGTCAAATGTAATACATTATAGTAACGATCGTTAGAACTAAAAAATAATCTTAGTATTTTCAGCGATAACAATGATAATTATTGCAACGGTGTTTGCGTTAATGGTTCAGGCGATAAATGCTCAATTGTCTGTACCAGAGAATTTGACAAAAATTTTTAAAGCTGTCGAAACACTCGAGGATTTTCAGTTGCTAGCTGGAGTCCAAATAACAGACACGTCTGAAAACTTTGACGCGGGGCTTTCATACCTTCCTCGCAATGACGCAGAAAGCTCTTTAGTGCATCCACTTCCTACAATGGAAAGTTATTTTCCATCCAGACATGTAGTAGCTTCAAGCGTCCAGACCCAGGAAGCTCAACGAGTTGTCACAATAGTGTCGTCGAAGTACTTGCAAAGTCAGTCAGCTACCAAAATTTTCATCGTATTACCTCTCACCGTGTCTGAAAAACTTTTAAAACAGCCAAATACAACAAGAGAAACCGAAATTACCAATGAAAGCTCTTTTGAATCAAAATCTGAGAATATTAAATAAACGAGAGGGAAAAGCTGTCAAGAGTTTCGTTACCGATGGAAAATTTAGTGGGCAGGACGGAGCCAATCAACAGTTTTAGGCAAGGCGCAGATACCTGCTTGCCTAAAGAGATCTGTGTACCAGTACCTGAAGAGAATTACAGCCCTCAAGTTTTGTTTTTTCCAAGGTGCTTCAAAGTCACGCAGTGCGTTGGGTCGTGTTGCGATGATGCAGAAAACTGTCGAGCAACCTCAGTAGAATACGTTCAAAAGCAGGTATTTTGAACTGTTTTTTTGAATGCTATTGATATGTAAAATCACAAAATGTGCATTAACAAAGTGTTTATTGGTATGTTCAGGTCCTTGAATTATTATACTTGGGAAAGAGTAGGTTTGTAGTAAACCGGACCATCACTGTAGCCATTGCAGTCCACACAGCTTGCGGTTGCCAAACAGAAAAAAGTACTAATTATGGAACAACGGACCCTATTTTATCAAACTGCACACGCATATGTAAGAGTCAGGATGACGAAAACAAAAGTTCAGGTGAAATTATTGGTGAATATCTGTCATTTCTCAGTCTTTCTAAAAAATTTTCTAAAATATCTTTTTCTTTTGGCTCTAAACATAGGTTACTTTTTGGTTGATAACATTTATTGCTAAGAAGAGTGATGTAGATTATCCTTAACGCAAAAATGGTTAACTTCCAGTGGTTGAGTATAACATTTAAACCTTCCATTTTAGTTAGTGGTAACTTTCAAACTAAACTATTCACTAGAATTTCACTCAAATTACTTCATTTTGAACAGTACTCATAATTTGAGCCCAATGACCCCCGTATTAAAAGTTAAAAAGAGGTTTCCTTCTTCTCTCATTTTTATGCGTTGCCTAGCTTGTCAAAAACTGGTAAATTTTCAAAAAATTTTGGTAGCGTTGAAAACTGTGCCTTAAGACGTACAATGAAATTACTTTTGATAATTAGGGTCATCTTTTAAGATATTAAATTTGGAGCTCTTTCAGTTTTTTAGTCCTATCTACTTTTTAACCAATGAAGGCAATGAATTGCAGCCATAATAAATCTGGTCCTGTTTCTTCAAAACGAATAGAAGCGATAGGCCAACAAGCTAAAACAGAGATACAAACATTATGCTACTCATTTAAGTTTTAGTTTTTGCAGACCTCAACCGGATCAGATCTTTAAAGCGGGGTTCAGACGTTTGCAGCCTTGAACGAGTCTGTGTGCCGATTTCCTTGAGTAGCTTTGACCCACAAATTTTGCTGTTTCCAAGATGTTATGAAGTCTTTCGATGTGTAGGAACCTGTTGCGTTGCAGCGAGGTCTTGTCAAGCAACAGCAGTGGAATTTTTTCCCTTAACGGTACTTACTGCATCAAAGTTATACAAATATTGCTGACTAATGCACATGAATTCTTAAATTAAGAAGTTATTTGATAACAATATGTTGTTTAGGTAACTGAGCTGAAATACGAAGGGAATAATAAATTCAAGATTAATCGAACCGTCCATATAACAATGGAAAATCATGAGGGGTGCAGATGTCTGGACGAGTGCCCAAACCAGATGACTTGTAGAAAAACCAACTTTGTTGCTCCGAGCACTGTGTGCATTTGTGCAAATCACGGCAACAGGACTGATTTTAAAAATGGTTGGGAATGATAACTCTCTACATCAATCATGCTTTCTAAAAATTTACACTGTATAAATTTACACTGACTTTTTAACTTCAGACTTAAAGTTTCACATAGCTAAAAGCAATCAGTAATAAAAAGAATGTTTTACTTATCAAAACTTTTTTCAACTTTTAATTTTTTGTGAGGAAATCACTTGGTGTCGATCACATTTGGTATCGTTTAACTTTAGAGGTTGAAAGGATTGCTTGAAACTGTGATAAGCAAAAAAAATTTTATAGCAAAGCAAATTTCTATATTCATTTTATGGTTCTTCATTGAAGTGAGTGGTAAACAAGAAACGATAATTTATTAATTTGTTCATAAAATAAATTTTTTAAAGCTTTTAGTTGTATTACAGATAAAACACACCAAACAAAACCTTATTCAACGAAACTTTGAGTAATATGTGGTGTGTATAATATTATAAAATCGCAACTTTTTTGTAAACTTGAAATTTTAACCAGTAATTTACGTGAAATTGTTTTGTATCTGTGCTTTGAAACTATATTGGCTTCTGACTTCATTTTTCATGGAAACTTTTTGTTTACAAAGGGGATTGATAGAAAGGTTCAAAAATTGATTATCAATGTAAAAAATGGACAGACAATGTAAAAAGTATTTGTGTACAAATTTATACTTTAAAATTACTGCAAAAAATTTTAGTTTTTTTGGATCTCAGGGCCATCTGGAAAAGCCGTTGTTTGATCTGAACAGTATCTCCTGAAAAGATTTCATTGATTGGTAACAGTTAGCGTTCGGATTAATGAATGACCATAAAGCTTTTATATTTTCTCGTTAAACGGTTATAATATTCCCTAAAAATTGTAAACACAGTGTTGTAGTTTTCACATCTGTCTCTGAAGGAATACAAAGATTGTATATTTTAAAGCTATTTTAGAATAAGAAATTTTTGAAAATTTTTTTGTTGTTTAAAGGAGTTCAATTTTAAAAAGATTAAGGAAACAAAATAAACAATTCCTATACTTACATCAGAAGCTGTTTTTGCTAATTGATGACAATCAATGTTTTTTTTTTTTATTCTGCCAACAAAGAACTAAGTCAGAGCTGAAAGAAATGGCCGGTTATCAGCCAAAAAAAAAAATACTCAATGCCGTAGCATTTGTAAAATACCAATTTTTATTAAGATTTGTTAGCATTATCATTTTTTCCATATTAGTTTTAAAAAAAAAAAAAGCATAGCTGAGAAGTCAACTGTAAAAATTGTTCAATGTTTTATAAAGTACTTTTACTTACCATATTTTGTTTTGCAGATGCAAAAAAAAAAAAAAAA